AAATTGACAAGACACTCATTGGCAAGGAGCAACTATTAGCATTTGCAAATTAAACATTACCTTATATACAGGCTACCTAAAAACATTAAATTAAAACTTTCAAAAGTGAATGAATGACTTGATGATAAGTAATGCTGTAGAAATGAGACGCTTATTCACTTCACTAGTGACTACCACAGAGATAAGAAAGCGTGTGCGAGCATGAATTCATCATAGGGAAGGTCTCTTTGAACATAATTTTGTATATTTGGTTTTGTTTTACTTATGTTTTTGGGTAGCCAATAAACCAAGGAAGTTTTTCTAATAGTTTGTACGCTTAGTGTAATATATTTTTTTAAGCTAAATGCTATTTTCTTTTGACCAAATTAGTGACTCAAAACAATATTTGATACTAATTTACTTACTATTTATTTTAAAACGAATCATATTTCTGCCAGTATATTTGCATTAACTCGTTGAGTGCCGTCATTATACACACAATTAAAGAATAATAGGTTGCGGTCACCGGTGTCCACGCGGTGTTTGACAGTTTAATAAATGTTTATTGATGTATTGACAACAAATTAAAACTAAAATCACTTAAATCAAACAATTAGTTTTTTATTTATTGATGTTTTTGTAGTTCGATCGGGATTTTTTCAACAAAACCTTAGGAAATTAGTTGTATTATCGCCTCCCGAGAGGAATACGTCAAATAAAAAGTCACCCAGTATATTAGATAGCTAGGTCAGTGAGGGCCATAAGTTAGTTCTATTAAAACTGCAAGTCACCCTTGAAAATACTAATAAAATGTAGCTGTAATAAGCCCTCTATAGCATGTTATACATCGTTCAAACTACTTAAGAGCAACATATGCTCTAGAGCGTGCATTCATGTAGGTGAATATCTCACAGCACGGTTGAGCAGGCCACGTCGAATCATATTAATTGCCATCATGTGCAGTGGCACATTACATTGCAAACTGAACCTTATCAGAGACGTTTTATTTGTTATCATTGCTTGGTTATTTCATCGTGAAATTCATACCGAAACTCATTTTAAAAGGTTGTTTAGTGAAATGTAAAATGATGCTCACGAAGTAAGTATTCAGTTTTATTAGTCGGGGGGCGGTGTACAGGTGCAAAGATTCTTTTTATTCAGTTGACTGATCAAAATAATACTAGACGTTAATTATAACCGGTTCGTCTTGAATATCACAAACAGCTCTACAGCTCTACACAGGCACGTTAAAGGCTTGCGTTCGATTAAACAACCTTCAGTGCCAGTCCCCTTTGCAAATTTGATTTTTGAGCGAATACTGAAACCTTTTTTGAATCGTGCTTTGTCTGCACCGCTGCAAAGCGCAGCTTTGACTCGCTATTCGGGAATGGCAGGTGTACACATACGGCGCGCCGGGATTTTGTACTCCAAACAAAAGAGAGTCATGTGAATACCCTTAACGGTCAATTGATGCAGACAGTTTGATTAAACTATACAGATCACTAATAATCAATCTACCGTCGTTCATACAGAATTTTTTGTGCAATAAAACTTCACTAAAGAAAGTATCTCTCGAAAAAAACCGGAGACACTTTCTTATAATTTTAGTATTTTTCAGTTAATTTTTCAAAGTTTATAACTTGTTCACTATTATTTATTAGAAACATTTTTTTCATAAAAATAATACACGCTAACATTCCAAGCTTTTTGTAAAGAAAATTATTTGCAGAACAGAAAAGTAAGTGAACATCTAATGTACGACTGCTTAGCGGCAGTCACAATGGAATAATGCAGGGCAACAAGTAGACGGGAACTTGGCAAAATGGGGAGAATTTATTCTTAACAATTCCCGACAAACATCTAGAAGAAAACTTATAGACAAAGTATTATAGCAATGGGTAGTGCGGTGTACAAATGAAAAGACTGAGAAAGCTGTAACTTCAATATAAAGAAGCCTAAAAACTGCATTGCTTTTAGGGCACCGTCACTTCGGAAAATACTGTTCAATAAAACGATTTTGTTTACAAAAAACTTGCAACGTGCATTCAGGGTGTTTAGATAGTCGGTGCAACAGTTTAAAACTAACTTGTCTTAGAAGTCTACTGGTTTAATTTTATTGTGTCCTGTAATATTCAGATATTTTATGTTCTTTTGTAGTTTTAATTAACGTTCGTTTACTTGAATTAAGTAATTTTAAAGTAACGTGTCTCATATTTAGGTTCTCACGCCCAAATACCAAAGGTTACTCAATCTAAGTTGTACTTAAATATCGTGTCATCTTTGTATTTTTTTTTTATTCAAAGAATTTGTAGCGACAGAACTATACTTCAGCGCGACTTAAAATGTGTGGCGTGTAAGTAATTGGACAGCAAAGGATTTAGTCAAGCAAGGCTGATAATATGACTGCAGAATAAAATAGTTCTCTGTTCAACCCATTGCACATACTTCCAATCACCATTATTATCACCATTTGTTAAATAAAATCAACTTACTTGGGAGATTTCAAGTCTCTATGGATAATCTTATGACTGTGTAAATACGCCATTCCTTGAGCTATTTCTTTGGCCCACTTCAAGATCTGGGAGGGCAAGAAGCTAGATCCACTGTGGATGTACTCAAATAGAGGACCATATTGGCAGAACTCCATGATGATGCAGGCTGAAGGTCCATTAGTACTGATGCCTTTGAATTGCACTGTAGGACAAAAGAGAAAAACAATTAAGAAAAAATAGATTTTTCAAATGAGAGAGCCAAATATAAAGAATGCTATCATAATTCCTGGCATTACTGTAATAATTGTCAAAAGTTTAATGCACACTTTGTTTTTTACTATTCTTTAAAAAAAAAACGTTTCCCCTCTAGTATTTTCTCCTGTGTCTTGGGTGCGTTTCACATACACATGACACCTAGACCCGAAACAACAATTTGTGGATCACACAAAGAGTTGTCCCGTGCGGGCACCGAACTGTATTGTTACTCATTTGCATTTTTACTCCAGGTGGAGTAAAAATCATAAAACTATATTCACTTAAACTCATTACTGACACCTGCTAAGAGATTGAGAAATGTATGCGAGCTTTACTTAAAATATCTTTTACGAGACAAATTAAATTTATGTTCTTTCAACTTTCTATGTGGCGCACTAGCAAAACATTATCTTATATTTGCATTCATTACTTTATTTGCGAATCTCCTCGAATGTCACTTTAACACATTAAGTTACAATGGTTTTATCTTTTTCTTTTCGCGTTGCTGCACGTTTCACAAATAAATTTTAATACACATAAATACATATATTCAGCAAGTGTATCTTTTTATACTTCTACTTAGAAACATGATCGATATATTAGTAACTCCCAAACAAAATCGAAGCATTTTTATTTTCTAATGTGATCAATTGATGATACACCAAAGGGCAATGACTAAAATTGGCGCCTTTGTTTTTTGTGGCGTTAGTTGATGATTTATGGAAAATGTTATCTAGAATGACATTACAAACGAAATTGTCTATGGGCTCATATATGGAAATCTCAGTCTGGACTGAGTTCTGAGCGTTGAAAGGAGCTGGAGTAAAACACTTATTATTTTGTTGGTTCCTCAATTTACTTTGGTTTTTTCATTCAAATTGTTCATATTTTTGTCACAATTCCTAACTTCAAATTGCGCACCACTGTACGCCCGGGCAGAGATACACTATATCACACCACAATATATCTCTATTGCCAGGCACTAATTTATATTACCTATTTTCTCTCAGTCTGTAACTTGTTGGATGCTTCTAAGAGTTGTGTCATGAAGCTTCATGAGCGTCAGCTCTGGTACCAAAGGTGGGTTGGGTAGTGGTAGCCGTCCAAACAGCTAATAAATATTTTTTTACGGCCATAAACCGTATGCATATAAAGTGAACACGCTAGGACATGAAGCGAAATGTTATTTTTTTACTTCAGTAGTGACCAGTTAATGGTTCACTTTATTCTGATTCCGTGGATTTATACCAAAAAAAAATTAAGGAAAAAAGTCAACAATAAGCTTTATTATATTTCTTGAAATTGTTTATAAACATTTATTACAAAATATTTCTGAAAATTAAATCACCATTTTTACATCTTTGAACAGATTTAACTCGGTTTGGACTGTGTTTTTGATATAAGACGCCATATATTTTTTTGTTTGTAATGTTATTCTGCATCAGGTTTTCTACATCCGATCAACTGACGCAAAAAAATTAAAACACGCCACGCTCCATACAAATTTGCTCATTGGAATTTAGTATCGACTTAGTTCGTAAAAAATAAGTAGTTAATAATACTACGTAATTTTTGGATGTTGTAATAATGATCTTGCTTTCAAAGTGGAATCCAACAAATAAAAGCATAAAAAACTCTGCTCGAACTTGACTTAATTATAACAATAAATGGTGGTGTGTCCAATTAATATCGGGTAAACAAACAACACAATAACATTACAGCGACGCTAGCCTGCAAACGGAACAGCAAAGCAGAGGCCAGTATAATAATCCGTCATTGTTACTACGAGAGCGGCAACTCACTCAATAGAGTACGGATGCCTGCATACTGAATTCGCGTAACCCTTTGACGGCGTGTCCTTTCACGCAAATTCAATGTGCGCATGCAAGGCGAAGACAACTAACATGAACGACACAAGTTACCTACTCAAACTACGACTACAATAGACACAAAAAACGTAAAAACGTTTCACCGTCGTACAATTCACAAAAGCTTATTTGAATGGATGACGTTTTCTACAAAAAATACTTAATACTTTTTTAGTTACGTACATCTCTATCCAAAGCAGGGAACGTTGTTTCATAACATGTTCATTTCATTTTCCTCGAAGACTAAACCAAAACGTAAACGTCAAAAACATGCAGGAGTGCGCTTACTGGCAGGGGCGCTCCCTAACCGCATTAATTGAACTCTTTAATACAAATCCGATCGTTTGTTCGCAAACAATTGCAACAATAATGGTTTGGTAAACCATAACTTGTGAAGTATAGACAACATATTTCACTACATTCGTACAGTACACAAAAAAAACAAATTGAATATGTACACAGAGAAGTTAATGAATATTTTTAAAAGCAAAGAGAACATGCATTTATATTTTCTTTACGTCACAATCTTATTGATACGACTTTCGACAATATGGGACACAAAAGTATCACAATTTTCACAGTACATATGTTATTTGATAGTGCATGATTTGAATAAATCATCCATAAACTGAGATCTTTTGATACATGCACATTGGCATCGTTACAATTTACTTGAGCCACTTCGATTTTTCATACTAATACTTTGATATTAAGTAGACTAATTTTGTAAAACGAAAACTTTTTAGTCATTGATATTTGAAAACGCGCCATAAAGGTCAGTTTTACTTGATACAGAAAGTAACATACTTAGGTACTTTTAATCTTGATATTCCTTCAGGATCAGGAGGTGGGCAGAAAATTTTAAAAACGAACTAGCTGTTCCCTGCGACTTAGTCCGCATATAATAATGACTTCTGGCAAATTTTTGATTTTTTAATTAGTGGATTGGATTTTAATCCAAGATTAATTGCAATGCTGTGTAACAAATTTCATTAGAATCAATTTAGTTATATTTATTGTGAAGTATTAGCTATTTTAGTGATTTAAAAAAATAAACAATCCCACAGGGTTTTTAGCCGTATAGTACATTCCCGTGAGGTTTCAGTGATTAAAACTCCATTTGAATTCCAATCAAATAGGTACAGCGGTTGAAAACTATCAGGCGTCATTTTCCGAGTCTCAAACTATCGTTGTACCGAATTTCACTCAAATAGGTTATGTGGTTGAAGCAATAGAGTCCCGGAATTTTAACGCATAGTTCCTGTTCCGAGAGATTTCCTTTCCAGTGCTAGTGTCACAAACTCTCGTTGAACCGAATCTCAATCAAATAGGTTCAGTGGTTAATAAAATTAGTATTCAACCTCTTTGCATACCTATATGTTGTATCATGATAATTAAAAATTAAATTGTCAATAATCCATTGGCATGAAACTCACTTGTCAAAAATATGGCAGATGACATAGAAAGGTATACTTAAACTGTCAAACACCAAGCGGTCACCGGTGACCGCTACCTATTGTTCTATAATTGTGTCTACAAAACCGGTACTCGACGAGTTAATATTATAAATTTGTTTACGTCTGTTTGTTTTGTTAGAAATTGACGTGATTTTTTTAGTGAGTTGAGAAATGATTGGAAGTAGCATAGGCGACATTTACTGTGCTGTGCGGTGCTATGTCTATACAATTATTTATTTATTTATTTATTTATTTATTTATTTATTTTTATGTTAATACGGTTTACACCAGTTACATTAACATATACAGATATCAAAACAAACATCGTATGTACGTACAATTAGTATAGACAGCACCGTTATCCAGTAAATGAAGTGTAGTGACTGGTGCTGGTGGTGCTGGTATAAAATTTACAAAAATTAGGATTGAACTGAACCAGAGTAACGAGGTCGCCTAGTTTAACAATTAATTTAAACCCCGGGCGATTTATTTAGGGCATGTTTCGAAAATGGGTCAAAGAAATGTTGTAGGTATATGGGACCTAAGTTAATTTGCATCGGATTGACATCGGTAGTTTAATCTCAACGTTTAGGAATTTTAAGCATGTTTGTTAGTTTGATGGCCACCCAGGACACTGTCTTTTTATTTATTTATAATTCATGGAGGACTTACAGCTTTTAAAAATGGATAAAAATAACAATAGGCGTAGGTAACAATGAGCCACTAACAAGTCCTCACGTTTAGCATTTGGAATAAATTAATTAATATGGTGTGAGTACTATACAATATTATAATGAAAAAGTTAAATATTGAAACAGACCGTGCAGACAATATGATTATAAACAGATCAAGAGAAACGATAAAAAAAAACTAAATATTTATTGCTGCTTAAAAAATTTGAGGGTTAAGCTTTAGCTTCAGCTCTTTGCCGAGTTCACACTAGTTGTAAACGGATCGAAGTCAAATTCCTCACAAACATTGTTAAAGTGTCTGCTTGCAGGCACAATGTAACTGTTCTGCCTGTAGTTAGATAAGGAACGGGATACGTGTCAAGGTTAGATTAAATCTAAATATTTTATTAGGTACATTAAATTTGATTTTTGATAATAGTTCTGGACTATCCACATTGCCGTTAAGAACCTTAAACAAGAATAGACAATCTTGAATGTTGCGTCTATCTACCGATGGTAAAAAATGAAATTTTCTAGAGTTTAAAACAACGAGCAGACTGGTATGGTATATTTTGGTGTAAACAGAGATATTTTATAAAACGTTTTTGAATGTTTTCCACGCGGTCAATATATTTCTGATATCTTGGGTTCCATACCTGAGATGCATACTCCAGCTGGCTCCTGACATAAGTGCAATATAATATTTTAAGGGTCTTTGCATCGGTGAAAATTAAGTCTGTCATCAAAGGTATGAACAGAAGCTGGACAAAGCTAAATCTATTGGAGCAACTTTTGCCCAAAACTAAATTTTTCAAACACAATGGTAATAATGTGAAACAAAGTTTGGACACAAAAAACTCTATGTTTTAGGTACATAATTGACTGTGGTCCTTATTGACGTGACATTTTGATTCCATGTTTAATAGATAATGTGTCTTTACTTTATGAAGT